GGATAATTCATTATTGGACATGGTGGCTGCTTTCATATTTGCGAAAGGGGGAGAGGGAAATAGAATATAATTTTATTTTTGTTTTCAAGAGAACATATCTCTTTTCGTTTTGTATCTTTCGTTTATTTATGCTTTTCGTTTATAGATATTTTTTTTCATCATTGTTGATATTATTTTTCAAATTTTTTTTTTTAGTATTCGTTTTTTTTTAAAAAAAATTTTTTTTTTTCTGAATTTTTTTTTTTTTTAGTTTTTTTTTTTTTTTTATATCTTTTTTAATTTTAATTTATTTTTGACCTTTTTTTTGATCTTTTTTTTTAAATCTTATTTTATTTTTTTTTTCAGTTTTATTATTATTCTTTTTATTCTTTTTTTTTTTTTGATTCACTTGTAATATCGCTAAACCGAGAATTCATTATACATCGGTTACATCCCTTATATCCCTTTAATGTGAACAAGGTTGTTTATAATTGATGTATATTTGTTATTAATAGTATTCCCATCAACATTGCAACCAACATCGAAATTATTAGAGTGGCGAGTCTGGATTATCGATGAACTAGAGATGCTGGACAATACAGTGTTTAAAGAAAAGATCATGACAATAATAAAGCAATAATACATGAAATTTCACGAAAATATGAAAGGTAACTATTCTTAAATAAATTATGAACATGGAAATCGTAGAGACGCAGACGCATACGCAAACGTAGAAAAAATAACAGAACATAAAAGGCACAAAAAACGAATCAAAATATCGAAAGTATTATGTCAACAAACTAACCTGCTGAGTGTTGTAATATCCTTGTCGGTTTGGCGTTGCTGTGTATCCCGATATCCCATTGTTGTATCTAGCGTTATCAACCCATTGATTTGCCGTTTGCTGGACTGGTTGAACCTGGGTAACTGGCTGAACTTGTAACTGCTGATTTTGTTGTGATTGTTGTAATTGCTGTGCCTGTTGTTGATAAGTTGTCAAAGTGTTCTGACCCTATAATATAAGTTTAAAATTTAGGAATAAAAAGGATCGCATAGTTTTGATATGTTCTGCCATTAGAAATGTGAGAAATAATCGAAGATAACTCTTACGATAGCCC